AATATATAAGATGAGAAAAAACTAAGCAAAATGCAAAACACTTTTTATAGCGAAATTTTGAAAATTTTTAAATTGTATTAACACAAACAACAACAACAAAAACGTATAATAAAACATTTGCATAAGCAAAATATGTATTTAACGATAAAAAAACAACAACAGCAACAACAATTAGTGCGAAACTTACACGCTTTACATGAATATATGTGAATGTACTATTTAGGTTATGTCTCACATATGTATGTATGCTAACAGCCACTAGCTAAATAACACAAGCCAAGTGTAAGCAAGCGTTTTCAAAACAAAAAAATATATACAGATATAAAGAAAAAAAAAATCACACACACATGTATACACATACAAAATAGTAAATATGTACATACATACAAGCATACATAAAGACATGCATAAATACATACAAAATAATTTATTAAGCTCTCTTACATTTATTTCTACCGCAAATATAACGGCTAATTTACTACATTTGGTTTTGATTTTTTTTTTAAGCGTTTAAACTTGTATAACAATTATTTTTATTGTTTTCACTGAGTTGCGGTAACAAATACTAGGCCGAAAATTTTTCGTTTTTTATTAGAGTGTGCATTTTTAAACAAATTTTGTATAACCTAAAAAACATAAAATGTGTGACTTACAAATTTTTAATATTTTAAATTAAATTATCAAACATAAACTTTTTAAAAAGTTCATATTTTCGATGTGGTTGCTTTTTGAATTTTTTTTCATATCCTAAAAACATATGAGGCACATAGTATGTGTTATTTCGTTACAAATTATTAATATTTTAAATGAAATTACCAGGAATTAAATTTTTAAAAAGTTCATATTTTCGATGTGGTTGCTCATTAGGGTGTGAATTTCTTTAGCAAATTTTTTGTAACCTAAAAACATGTTTGATGACATGTGATTTCGTTACAAATTATTAATATATATATATATTTTTTTTTTTTGGAAAAAAATTATAAAAAGGTGCAAAAATATCGATAAATTGAAACCTTTGTAAATATTAATAATACATACATATATTACATTTATTTAATATCACTTCAATCCTGATTATTATTATATTGCAAAAATTATTGATTTATCAAGCTGCCCTCATTGTACTACATACATACGGCTAACCATTTCCCAAGTCAATTACGTGAATTTGTCAATTAAGCGCTCATCAATTAATTATTCGCGTTTATCTTTTCAATTTTAAATATGCAACGAATTAAGGTCTAAAGCAATATCATTAAAATTTTTTGATTGATTGCAGCAATATTTTTTTTCCATTCAATAAAATTTCATTTAAAAATCGTTATGATTACGTAAAAATCCGTCCCAGAGAGAAAGAATGGACTAATTATTGGAGAATAAAAGTGGTGGTTTTATTATTTTTGCGACAATTCCTACGATAATGTGAGGGTAGTTAGATAAATCTTTGATTATTTACAAATAAGGCACTTTTTGTGGCAAAAAATATCGCATAATATTATTTTTTAAAAATTTTGAAAACAAACTATTGGTTATCGCATTCCTCTAACATAACGCACCAATAAAGAAGCTTAAAAATAAAAACCAACAAAAAAATCGTATATTAACATGATTTATGTGAATACTTTTTTTTTTGCTGGAAAAAAATAATACTAATAACTTTCAACATATTTTACGGCATTATTTCTTTCAATATTATTTTAATTACTATTTTTCTTTAAAATTCCACATAGTAAAGCAGTCAATGACCTATTGAACCAATTTTCGCAAGATTAAAAATAATTATTTTACCAGAACTGTAATACCATGCCGCGTCAATATAATTAAGTCACCAAACACATACTTTTTTAAACCCTATAACCCTAAAGCACTATGATTTGTAGACGCTAATAAATATTTGTAGTTTCATCACGCACTGTATTTTTAAAGATTTTTTATCTACACATTTTTGTTCTAAAACACAACTAAAAAGCTTTACTGTCCATGTAACTAATTGATTTATCAAAAATTATCGCAATAATATTTACCAAAAAAACGCAAACAATATGTGCAAAACAATCTAGTAGCAAAAATGCGTATTTATTGATTGTATACACCGAATGAAGCAAATAAATACAGATAAATGAATTGAAGCCTATAAATGTTTTTGGTTTGAGTATAATTCTTTTGGGGGGACGAGGGGAATAATTATAGGAGTCTCTACACAGGTAAGCTCTATGTGACCGAGTCCTTTGTTGGGAAACTTCAAATCACTTCAATGAATTCAGTTAAGAAGTTATAAATAATCGTTATAACATAACATAAGAAGATACAATTAAAATTTATAATCTAATTTAAATTTTTCAGTAATGATTCAAGCACTATCATATATTATATTAAAATTGCGATATTTCTCTGCCAGCATCATCATTCAGTCATACATTGGTCGAAATATTTAAAAATTAATTTCAATATTCTTCCTTACAAATAAAATCTGCTAAAAAATACACTTACTGCGCTTTCTCTGGTACTGAAACTCGCTTGTTGGCATGACCTTGGAGCGAGGTGCTCTTAACATCCGCATGACAAAGTGGCATGTGTCGTCGTTTCCGATTGCAAACCTTCTGAAGATAGCTGCCTTTCATATCCAGTGATTACAACAACTTAAGAACTGTTACACTTATCATTTTGCATTATTTGTTACACATTTAATCCATATTTTCGCAATTGCAAATAAGAGCACTTCTGACTATAAATCAGTCAAAATTAATTTAAATACAAAATGGCTGATTAGCGCCTGGTTAGCTGTGTTTGCTTGTGAACTAATATGCATAACTAAAATGAATTAACGTGATAACAAGTGTGAATAGAGTCGGACATTAGTATAACCCTCACACCCTCCATACCATAGCTGAGCATCTGTAAAAAGCTGAACACAGTTTTAATATCCTCAATCAACTTTTAATATCCGGGTATAAGAATCAGACACAATTTTCCGGCGAATTTTCAAAAGGTACAAGTCATGCAAACGACTCAAATTCAAAAGCGTATAGGCAATTCACAATAGAACTGGAAAATAAGCTGCCTATTCAGGTTATGAACTCGACTATCGTTTCGTGGTTTGAAGCTTGGGAGATTTTCAAAATTATAGTAACAATGTGAAGAAAAACGTTTGTTGTAATGAGTTTTAATATTATATTATATTTAATAAATATTTTATTTATTACACAGATCCGCTGTCAACAAAGCCAATAATGAATAAAAACCTTAAAATATTTACGTAATCATAATTTGCTCAAACTCACATGTATTTTTATGGCAAGTTTTCGATTTGCGCAAGCCATACATAGTTTATGCGCGCTCATTGTGAATGATTGATAGAAAAAGAAGTGTATATCGAGTTGAAAATTGTGCATGATTTATATTGCCTAACTGCAAAGTTTTAATAAAAAACAGCAAAATTCATAAAGTTTCACGAACTTTTTTTTCGTAATATGCCACCAAAGCTGGTGTGGCAAATCTGTGTTGAAAAATTTTTGCTCGATGTATAGACAAATCAGCTGTTTGGGCCCAAAAATCAGCCGCTGAAAGTCTGCAACCAATTATATTTTTCAAGCAGCTTAGAATCACTATTGTTAGTAACAAAGATAAATATTTAATACGTATTGCAAAACTTTGGCGATTGCTTAAAATCGGCGGCAGTGACTTATAAGATCTTGCGTCTCGTTATCCGTAAAATTTGCAGTTGAATATTATACGATGGCAGACAATGCAGATAACAGAGGTGATACACCTGCCCAACCACCCTCGGCTCCACCACAACCACAACAACAACCGCAGCCACCGCCGGGCGTAAATAATCCCAATATCAATAGGAATGTGCCAAACTTTGCTAATGTTTGGAATGTGGATCTTGCAGCGAATCCATTCAATTTCAACAACCGGAATCGTGGCGGACAAGTGAGTACTTTTTTCTTGCATAAATATTGATCAATTTAAGTGAAGGGCGTTAATTATTTGTAACAAGTGAGAACAATATCGTTCTAGACTGCTAAGTTTCAATTATCTCACACCCTTATATTTATAAAGCAGTAAACGCGTTTAGGACCAAACAAGTTGTGAAAAATTACCAATTATTATGATTTCCTAATATGTAAATGTAGATTTTTATAAATGCGTGTATGTTTGGGTGTGCAGCTGAAAGTGACATTTATACATTTTATAAATGATTTCGTGAAACTAATTTTATCGTAATTATTGTTTTCAGAATAACCTGATGAATGTACGCGATCGCCTCTTTCACGCCATTTATTTCAAGATTGCTCTTATGTATGCGCAAATATTTCCCAAGTAAGTGTGCAGAAACTACGTTACTTTTGTTTACAGCTTGCTTTGCTAATTATATTTGTTAATTATTAATATATTCATCTTCTTTATCACTAAGGCCTCTGCAACGAGTTTTGGAATATTTCATATTGCTCAAGGCATTGTTATTCTTCTTCGCCTTGGTTTATATACACTTGGCATTTATCAAGAATCCCGCTACATGTTTGCAAAATGTCAAAGATTGGCCACGCGATGGAGTGCTGAGGTATGCAGCATTGTTAAGAGTTTGCTTATTATCATTAATATATCTATAAATATTTTATATTTGCGTAGAGTTGAAGTTATACCGAATTTGGAGAAGCAGCGTGATTTATTGTCGAAGACAAAAGCCAATGAGCAGTTAATACGTTACTTACAAAATTATTAGTAAGCAAAATTTATACCATCCTTTTTACTCGTTACAATACCTAACTAATTTGGTTCCTTCTCTGTACGCTAGTCATTATGGCATTGGTCCGCAAACCAAACTCAATCATGATCGCCTAAAGCAATATGAACGCACATTGACACGTTCCGGTTATCAATTGCGGCCCACATTCACCTATTCAAATGAAACATTAATCTATTATTTCAAAACGGAAGCCATAACTGGACAGGCTGTTGAAAATAAGGCCATCGAGCAGTTGGAAAAGTCGGATAATGACGATGGTAAACGTTCTTAATGTGGCTAATTTTATAAAATGTAATAAGTAAGCTTTCAGATGAGCAGTATATTGTGGAATATTCATTAGAGTATGGGCATTTACGCCTTTCACCAGCAACACGTAAACGTCTGAAGATCCCCGTACGTGTAGTGCAATTGGATCCGATGACTGACAAATGTTTTGGTGATAAATTTAGCAAATTTTTGCTTAAACAACTGTTGGGGTCCGTGCTCTACAGTAGTTTTGTTTTAATATCCCAATAAATCTTTATTTCATATTATTACAGTTATGATGACCTGCTAATGTCCTCAGTGCGTGTGATTGCTGAAAAGGAAGATAATAAAGGGTATTTGCGTAATGTCATAACCGGTGAGCATTATCGTTTCGTGTCAATGTGGTGGGCAGCATGGAGTTCGTATCTAACGGCATTTTTTGTAATGGTGCTTTTTGTAAGTGAAATTACAAGCTTTTACACCATGCTTAAAACAACGAAACTTTAACATTTTTATCTCTTCATTTTCAGACATTTTCTATTTCTATGCTTTTACGCTTCTCGCATCATCAAATATTCGTTTTTATTGGTAAGTTTTTTGCTCTAGCCGACATACTTTGGTTTTGCAGTTATGTTTTTACATTTACAGTTGATCTTTTACAAATGCTGGAATTCAATGTCACCGCGCGTTTTCCCATTGCTCCACTGCTCACTGTAATTTTAGCACTCGTTGGTAAGCAAACGCACTAAAGTCAGCTTTAGTTGTTATTTTGCCTTTTACATGAATAATTTGAATATATTACTTATTGGTGCTTCTTCTTCTCTTCTTTAAGGCATGGAATCAATAATGTCTGAGTTCTTTAACGATACAACAACTGCATTCTATATAATATTGATTGTTTGGGTGGCGGATCAGTACGATGCCATATGCTGCCATACGAGCATCACCAAACGCCATTGGCTAAGGTGAGCGCACTGGCAATTATTTACATTATATATTTATATGATAATTATGGTACAACGCTCAATATTGAGTTATCGCTTATATTTGAATATGAAACGCCAGTCGTAGTAGGTCACCGTATTGACTCAATTTGTTCTTTAGAAATCCCTTTAAGAGCGCCAAGCCGTATGCAAGTTGTTTTTGTTGTTGCTATTGAGAGGGTATAAAGCGAATCCTATAGAGATTTCGTGAATGCTATCGAGTGGAAAGTGGAGTGGAAAGTTCTCAACAGCATATAAATTTTGTGTACTTAGACCGACGACCTCGTCTCGGGCGTGGTCGTGGTTTTCATCAAAAGAATACTTATTGCAGAATACTGTGGGGGTAATTTGCTACTCTTTATATTCTGAACAGCGTTCATTAAGTTTTCCACGGCATTTGCAATAGAATGATGAGCTCAGTCGATTTAGAAATGTCCGCCTCTCCATCAGCCAAACTGCTTTCGAACTCTTCGAAACAGCTCGTTTCCTGAGCCAACCATAGCAGGCGAAGAGTACCTGCTGGTAGCGGAATCGTCTCCTAGTGGGATCAAGAAGTCCTTCCTAAACTACGCCGCCGACATATGTAAAACAATATGCCGACCAGGCTTCGGACGCAACAAGCTTCAGATATGCACTAACCGTCATTCATATTTCAGTGAATGATGTACTTGGAGTCAAACCACCATTGCAGACCCATTGCAGACGAAGAGCTCGAGTTGCCGCCAGAATCGAAAGTGACCCTTCAGAATTATTCAGAATTGACCTTTAGAACAATCACAACAACACCTTACTGCCGTCTTTGTAATTAAAATGGACTCGTGTTTTTATGTGAACTCTACTACATTCCCCAAATTATTTGAAGAATTTTTTCTGCAGCGACAACAACAGCAAAAACCGAGGTGACCGTTCCCACGACAGTCGAGTCTAAGTAACCGGAACGGTACCTGATTTTTTTATCTGGCTAAGAACTGTCTACTCGGCACCATTCCTCGAAATTTCCTGCTGTGTACCAAAAACCATAGTGCGATTTGTAAATTTGTATTTTCTTAATTTTGACTTTTGTCATCCGTTGGCCAAAGCGTCAACCGATACTTAATAAAAATAATGACTTTCATTCGCACCACAGTCGGGTCTAAGTAAGCGGAACGGATCCGGATTTTTGTCCTGCCAAAGACTGTGAACTCCGTACCATGCCTTGAAATTACTTCAGGAATGTTTTCTGCCGCTACAACAACAACAAAAATAACGACTTCAATATTCTTTTTTGCAAATAAAGTATTATCAGTGTTCATGTTTGGTGGAATTGATTACTAACAAGTAAGGTAGGGCTAAGTTCGGGTGTCACCGAACATTTTATACTCTCGCATGATAAAGTGATAATCGAGATTTCAGGCGTGATTGTGAACCGATTTCACCCATATTTGGTACATGTCATCACGGTGTTAAGAAAATATYATATACCGAATTTCATTGAAATCGGTCGAGTACTTCCTGAGATATGGTTTTTAGTCCAAAAGTGGGCGACGCCACGCCTATTTTCAATTTTTAAAAAAAGCCTGGATGCAGCTTCCTTCTGACATTTCTTCCGAAAAATTTTGTGTTTCTGACGTTTTATGTTAGTCGGTTAACGCACTTTTAGTGATTTTCAACATAACCTTTATATGGGAGGTGGGCGTGGTTATTATCCGATTTCTTCCATTTTTGAACTGTATATGGAAATGCCTAAAAGAAACGACTCTATACAGTTTGGTTGACATAGCTATAGTAGTTTTCGAGATATGTACAAAAAAGTTAGTAGGGGGCGGGGCCACGCCCACTTTTCCAAAAAAATTACGTCCAAATATGCCCCTCCCTAGTGCGATCCTTTGTGCCAAATTTCATTTAAATATCTTTATTTACGGCTTAGTTATGACATTTTATAGGTTTTCGGTTTCCGCCATTTTGTGGGCGTGGCAGTGGGCCGATTTTGCCCATCTTCGAACTTAACCTTCTTATGGAGCCAAGAAATACGTGCACCAAGTTTCATCATGATATCTCAATTTTTACTCAAGTTACAGCTTGCACGGACGGACGGACAGACGGACAGACGGACGGACGGACAGACAGACATCCGGATTTCAACTCTACTCGTCACCCTGATCACTTTGGTATATATAACCCTATATCTGACTCTTTTAGTTTTACGACTTACAAACAACCGTTATGTGAGCAAAACTATAATACTCTCTTCAGCAACTTTTTTGCGAGAGTATAAAAATGTAATCTTAAGTGTTTCTTCTCTTACGTAGTTGTTAACGACATTAACCACATACACATATCTATTGCATACATGTAGTGTATGTAAATATGTATGCATGTGCATATTTCGCATAGTTTATTCCATAAAGTAATGACATATGATATTGCTGCGGTAATTTGATAGGGGTGGCAAAGTCAGAAACCATAATCTCAAGTGGGATGAACCAATATTATACTTATGTACATATGTATGCACGTGTGTGTATTTATTTATGTATGTGTGCAAGTGTGCCGGTATTGATAAATTACTTGCGTCCATAATCTAACCCTTTTCCAGCCATCGACAGCTGTATTGTTAAATATTTGGCCAACGACCTGTCATTACATGCCTTCTTTCCTTCCTTCCCTCTTCTCCATCGCATTTTCAGCATTCTTTTCGAGATCGGAATTTAAATATTTTTAACTGTTGAACTCTGATTTTAAAATACTTCTTCTTCTTACTATTCTGCATTGCTGATGCTTTTTTGCTATTTATAAAATATTTTTTGTTTCTGTTGATGCATTTTCTTGTACCGTTATTGCTGGTATTTTATATTTGTGAATATTTAAAGGATTTATTTGTTCTTAATGCTTTTCTAATGTAGGTATTTAGGTAAGTTGATTTGTATTTACTTTAAGGTTACCTTTTTTAAAGATTTTTTTTTTTAACGTACAGAGCAGTGCAAAGGAATGTCTCTAATCTGTGATAACATAAAAATATATGCATCATCATGATAAGTTTTTTCAGACAATTCGAAAGAGAACCGACCTAAACGATACTAGCACCTACACGGCTTCATCTATTTATTGACCCCTTATGCGGTTATAGCCGAGTTTACAACAGCGCGACAGTCGTTTATGCTTTTTGATGTGTAGCGCCAATTGGAGTTTCCAACTTTACTTCTCAATTGCCTACTTAGTCCGAAGTAGCGCCTGTTGGCGAAAGTTATTCTGTGTTGGAATTCGAGGCCGATGTTGTCGTGGGTTTTAATGCTGGTTAAGTTATGACTGTAGACAGTGACATGGGACTCAAGTCGTGAGTGCGACGACTGCTTGTCGTAGAACCACGATCTATGTATGTGTAAGCTATACGGCGACATGTGTATGGTATAATTAGCAGCTTGAAAATCCAAAGAATGCGCTGCTTGTGTCATTTCGTAAACATGTATAAAGATGCTGAAAAGCTCCTTCGGTTCATAACGAATCGATGGGCTACTAAAGAAGAAAAGGTGCCATGCATCACATTGTAAAAAGGACTATTGGCTTATGGGCCGGCCTGCACTTGGTATGTAGAACTGTCGTGACCTCGCAAAGGGCCGTTCTCACGATAGTCGGGTCTAAGTAAGCTGACCGGACCCGGTGTTTTCTCTGGCCAAGGACTGTTATCACAGCAATATTCTTCGAAAGTTCTTCAGGAATGTTTTTGCCGCTACAACAACAAAAATCTCGCAAAGGAAAGAGAAAAGGGCAAGGAAGAAGAATAGGAAGTATTCTCTAAAAAATTTGGATTCGTGGATAAATTGCTGTCCGCTTACGGATTCTGTATAATAACATTATATAAAATGGAAATTTGAACTGCGGTTTACTGTTTTTCTTGGTCTACGAGTGGACGGATCTGTACGCAGGCAAAAAATGCATTTCGAAGCAGATTTCAAAGACAGTTGTGTATGTAAGGCATCCTATCTTGGAACTGGAGTACTAGCTTAACCCGAGAGTTTGGAAAAATATCCGTATTTAAGAGAAAAAAAAAACATATTAATAAAGTCATAGCAATTTGGATAAACAATTGGTACTCGTTAATAGGATAATTCGGCCTGCGTACTCACTGACAATGAAACTATTCCACTAAATCTTAGCTTGATAATCTATTTTGGTTCATAAATACAAATTCAGGTGTGTGAAGTTACTTATACCCAGCAGTTTAGATTTCTATGTGTAGCCTTTCAGGTTAAAAATAAACTACACAGCCAACTCCTTATCGAATTCACAATCCGACGAACAACTTTCATGCGTAGGCAACGAATTTGGCTACAGTGAGACAGAGTACTTAAATATTCTTTTACCTTTTGTTATAAATCTCGCATTGAGATCTCTTTGACGCTCTTAATCGGATAGCATTTAACCGTCGCGGTGGCCTTTTCGCTTTTTATTTTTTGTTGAAAGGCGCTCGAAAAGGGAAACTCCAATAAAGCGCTTTCTTGCCTTTCATTATTTTGCGATTAGATAATCATCTTTGTTTTTGAGTTTCTCAAATAATTTTGCTTCTACAAAGAATTATATACGGACATGCCAGTTGTTTGCTGGAAGAGTTTCACCTTAAAAGTGTTTAAAAGTTATGAAAATTTGATTTAAAATTTTTAATTCGGTTAACTTTTTCAGCGTACAAAGTAAATTAAGGGGTTAGGTTAAATTTAATTTTTGGTAAAATTTTCGGCATTTTTTGGTCAGAAAAATAAGTTGTAATGAAACAAGAAAAAACGTGTATACAATACGAACTAAATCGGCCCATAACTTTTCGGGAGATCGTGTCCACCGACTTCAAAAACACAGTTTCGAGAAAAACTTGTTTAAAGACAGGGCACTTAGCGCAAGTTCTCAATGCTGTATCGCCGAAATTATTACTCAGATCAACTTTAAAACTTAGGACTATATTCTAGAGGTATTGTAGAATTTAATAAAGCAAAAAAAAAAAAAAACAAAACCAA